CTGACTGCACCTCTCCCACTAGACTGGAAGAAAAGCCACCCTTCTTAGCTCAAGGCTCTCTTGTGTTTCACTCCCACCAGTCCCTCCAAGTCTAAGCTTGACACATCTGCATATTCAGCCTAACTCTCCTCTTCCTGGAGCACTGTGGCTCCCCTGTACCATACACCCAAAGTCTCTACCACCCACATCTGGTAAAAAGGATAGTTCCTGTGTTCCTTCTGCCTTGTGACTGACTCAGCCTCCCATGGACCCTGCGTCTAGTACAGCATAGGCTCCGCTATCTGGTGAATGATTGGAAACGAAGGGAAAGACAATGGTCACCTGCTGTCAATGTTTTCTCTTAAGGCACACATCCCTAACCCGGATGGGACAAGGGGGTTCCAGATGACTTGGGAAACTCAATTGGACAAAAATAGAACAGTCATTGGACTAAGAATGCCTGCCTTGATTCTTGCTGCCATGTGACCTCATATCAGTAATGTAACCCCTCTGGGCCTCTGTTTTCTGCCTCTCAACTAGAAATAAACCTCTGCCTTACTTCACCAGGAACTACAGGACTCAAAAGGCAGAACCAAGGTAGAAATTCTTTGATTATATCTAAAGTCCAGTGTCCTTCAACAGAGCCTGCCTAGCTGACAGCCCATACCTTGGAAAACCAAGATCCTTGTGTGCCCAGGATTTTTCCAGAAAGACCTGAGAATATGACAGGAATGTACAATTGGGTGGCCCTGTCTCATCCTCAGACTCCACCCTGAGCCTCTCATGACTCTAATTATGCTCTTGCAGTGCACACAACAGTGGTCTGACAATGGAGTTGCTTATAGCTCCAGAGTGGTCAGCTGAGACCTAATATACACCCATGTCCAGAGCCCAATTCTGATTGCCTAGAAGCAGAGCTGTGAAGATGACAGTCCTCCTAACCCAAAGACTATTTCTTGTGTGTTTGCCCCACAAAGACTTTTTCCCTGATGGAAGTCAGATCTCACTGGAGTATCCACTGCTGGAGGGAATGTACTGTCTTGTTCTTCCAGGAGCCTTAGCCCTACATAGCTGTTCTGTCAGCATCCAGGGGAAGAGCCCTTCCAACGTGTGGTCTTTGGGAAGGCAGGTATGCTGTGCTGACCGACCTTCAGGACCTCCAGCCTCCACCCTTCTTGCAGTAGCCCAGCTGAGGAAGTGTCAAGTGCACCATTAACAAAACTCTTAGCCAGTGATCCCCAAAGCTTGTGTCCATCATCAGAGTGTGAAGGTTCACATACGATGTGATTGCTATGCCCCACCTGGCCCTGTTCTGCTCTGTGTCACAGCCTTTCTGGCCTCCCATTGTGACCATGAGAATGTGAACTTGAAATTAAGAGGCCTGTGCCCACATTGCTTCAGAATCATGTTCCATGCCAGTGGGGGCAGTGAGTGGATCTCTGCTTCTCACTTCTGTTCCCTGTGAGCAGGTCCCACAGTGGCTCTGTACCGTAAGCTGCTTTCAGGGAGCCACAGCCAGTGGTGCAGGGGTTCCAAGAGCTCCAGTTCATGGTAATGCCTCTCACTAACCCTGCCCAACTCTTTAGTCTCCTTGAGCCCCCAGCTCATGCTGCTCTTGAGCCGTGTTCCCCCAATCCATGGTTCCTTCCCACTGAAGCTGACTTCTGGACAGCAATGTGTTTTTCTGCATTCATCTTTTCCTGCTTTTCTTTGTCCCCTCTTCCCACCTGAACTACAACCATTCATTCACCCCATACAGCCTGTTCTCAGCACTTCCTCATGCCCATCCTTGTCCGCTGGGACATTCGTCCAGGGATATTTGGGCAGCTGCAGCCACCACAGCCCAGGAGTCCTGCCACTTCTTCCACAGGAGGCAGAAGCCTTCTTCTGCCCTGCAGTGCTTGTACTCAGAGATGAGGACACTGAGACCCAAGGTCCACCAAGCTAGCCTGGTTGGAGCCTGGCCTCTGTGAAGAATCAGGAGGGCACCCCACTAATCAAATCAGAAGCCCAAGAAAGACTGCTCGACACTGCAGTCAGTCTTCTGTCAGTCCTTCAGACGCCTGTGTGCTTCCCACTGGTCCCCAGAGTCCCATATACATGGTGGCAGAGTGCCCTGATAATTGGTGCTACCACCCCCTTCCTTCTCCCTTAGCCCCAGGGGACTTTAATGCACAGCCCTGAGCACTTCATTCTCCTCCTAGCAGCCACCCTGGGAAAGTGGCCCTGGCCTGTGTTCCCACAGCAGTGTGCTTCAGATTGGTGTGTGCACCTGTCTCTCACATGTAGCTCCCCTGGAGCGCTTTCCTCAGTGATGATAACCTGCAGGGAAAACTGATTTCAGAGGGGCAGCAGGGCTCCTGTTCTTGGTTACTTAGGTTGGGCTTTGTTTTCATCTATCTGGTCTTGTCAGGACAGCTGTTTGCATTATCCCTTCTTGGCATCTTTAAATTCCCTCTCAGTCCTGCTAGCTTCTAGGCTAGGTGTGGCTACCAAGCTATTGTCCCACTCCCTTATAAGTTCAGCTGTAAAAGAACCAGCACATGGAAGGAGAATCTGTTGTAAAGAATTTCGGGTGAGCCAGGCAGTAATGGTACATGCCTTTAATCGCAGCACTCGGGAGGCAGAGGCAGGTAGATCTTTATGAGTTCAAGACTAGCCTGATCTACAGAGCTAGTTCCAAGACAGGGAAAGCCACACAAAGAAACCCTGTCTTGGAAAAAAAAAATAGGATGCAACCTTTAAAGAAGTTTCTAGGTTGGTGCTGTTTGGTGGAGTTGTTTGTTTGCACATCACAGCAGCTCTGGCTGTGCTGACAAACAAGGTAAGTCTCCAGAAGTGGCCAGAGAATACTAGCTCCCATTGGACAGTACACCTCACAGGGCCAGTTTCTCAGGAGACTCTTCAAAGAGACGCCTCCAGAGATAGCCACCTTCCACTGGGATGACTTAAGATGGCAAGAAGAATGATTGGACATGCTTTTTATTTTTTATTTCTTCAGGCACAGAAGATGGGTTGAGGGAGGGGAGGCTGGAAGTGGGGGAAACCTGATAACAGTGGCAGCTGCTGGTATCCACGGCCAGGAATATTCAAGATCTCACTAACCCTTTCTAACAGCCCTCTAGCGTAGAGATGTGGATGCCCATGCTGCTTAGATAGGGGCAGGGAAGCTTGAAGTAGTTATGTCATGGCCCATGGGGAGTAAGCAGGTAGCTGGGGTTCAGTCTAAAGCTATCTAACCCCAGAGGCTGCCTGCTGAGCCCTCTGCCACCAGCAGGAATGGAAATAACACAGGCTAAAGGTGACATGGGGTGAGGACCATGGGAAAAGACAAGGTGGTTATACAGCAGTACAACTCCAGACATGAAAGAAGCAGGAGAGGCGGCAGGGTCGAGACGGGTCACCTGGCCTGAGAGAACCCATGCACCTTCTTCATCCTCCTCTTCCTTAGAAGTGACTTAGAAGCTCTGTGCCCTTCTGTCCTTTACACTGCCTATAAGTTATGAAGAGGAAGAAACATGGCAGCTATGCCCATCTGACTAGGCAACATTACCAAGTACAGAAGGGACACCAGGCAGCTTAGCCATTGTCTAGCTCATGACTGAAGATCAGGGAAACCACAGTTCATCTTCCACCCACACCTGCTCCCTGACTGTTGCTCTACCAAGACCCTCAGGCTACAGGGATGCCTGCCATATAGGCCCAGCCTTCTAGGGGTCAGGTGCAGAGACCATACCAAGTGAGGTCCCCGTCAGTACTGGCTGAGAAAACACGTAATGTAAGCCATACCTCTGAATCACATGGGGAATTCTGAGTAAGGCACATAAGGAGTAAATGGAACAAGGAGGGTTAATTTTAATAACGTATTTCACCCAAAGTTCCCAAAATGTTGCCATCAACATGAAATCAGTATAAAAATTAGTAATGTGATGGTTTACATTCTTTTCTAAGTCTCTAAAATCTAGTGTATGTTCCACACTTTCAGTACATCTTGGTGCCAAGTGTCCACATATGGGCATTGGCTCCTGTGCTGGCCATTGCTGGCATAGTCATTATCAGATGGTGACATACCTTTGTGAATTAAGTGACTTAATGGATGAGAGCCCACTTGAGGTCCTCAGTCTTGAACTTAGATTCTTTCTGTCCCTTGCTCTGCCTGCCTTTTCTTACTTGTATTCAAGACATGTTGTCAGGCTGTTGAGATAAAGTTTCATGAGGAAAGCTAAGAAGTTAGCCCACTGTTGATCCACATCCTGACTGTCAAAGCCAAGCAATGTGTTCTTCAAATTGTGTTTGTTCAGCAAAGCAGACTCCTCGCTCCCCAAGTCCCATTCAACCTCCTGTAGGCACAGCAATAGATCCCTCCGAGAAATAGACTGTTTGGAATGAGGCTAGGGGTCCAGATGTTCTGCTATAAGCCAGTCACATGTCAACAGAGGCCCTGTGCACTTACAGTACTGGAGACAGCATCTGATCTGTACTGGGCCTTGAAGGTCAAGACCACATTTGCCTGGCCAATCAAAATAGGGAGGTCACTCCTCCTCTAGGGGCAGTTAGGAAGTGGGGCATCTGAGCCCAGTGTCCCTTGAAGGTCTTCCCACGTTGGGCATGAGTTGAACTTTGGGAAAGATCTGCTGCTAGTGGAATCTAGGCATCCCAGCTGAGGTCAGGAACATCATTGAAAGTGGGTGTGGTGTGGTGTGGTGTGGTGTGGTGTGGTGTGGTGTGGTGTGGTATGTCATATCGCTGCAGTTTACAAAGTCTCCCTGACCTGAGAAGAAATTGAAGATCAGAGCAAGGAATCCTGCTGAGAGACATTTATGATGATCCAGGCCAGAGAGGAGGCCAAGACTAGAAAGTTAGCGGAGGGAGGCCAGGGCAGTGTGGGTAAGGAGCAGAAGGTACCCCACAGACTCCAGGCTCTAGTGTGGATACCTCAAGACTTTTTCCCAGGCCATGTGTAGAGATGCATAGGGCCATCTCAGTGTGAACTGATGTTTTAAGTTTCCACTTTAATGCAGCAACAAAGACTCCATCCCACTCGGCCACCGCCTCCCAAGATCCAGCGCTCAAGGCCCGTGAGTAGCCGGTGGCGTGCTCTCCCCATCTAACCCTGCCTGTCCCCACTCCCCTGGCCTCACTAAACCTCGAGAGTGTGGACTCTCCTGCCTGGCACAAGGAAACTGGGAAATGGGTTTTTCAGCTTCCCTCGCTATGTGGCATGAGCTGGAACTTGCATATTCTGGGCTTCTCTCTCCTTTTTCTGAATCATCTCAATGACTTGCAGGCTGTAGCCGTGGGTAGCCAGGCTGCTGTGTGCAGCTTCGCATCATTTAAGCGAATCTCCCAGGGAGAGCTGTATTTCTAGCCACTGAGCTTTAATGGCTCACTGCAAATGCCTCTTCCTCACAGAGGAAGCCACAGTCTGACAGCGGGGGTCTTATTCCCCCTAGGTCTTGGTTGGAAAATATCTTTTGCTGTATCTTCCCAAGAGCAGAAAACATAGTGCCCTGTTAAATAGATACAGGTACTGTCCCCTGCTAAGCTTCACAAGGAGAGATGCCTACCCACAAAAAGTACTAAGGAAGGCTAGGAAAACAGAACAAAGTCCAGTACCAACCAGCCAACACCTGTGAACAGAGTAGGACATGGAGAAAAGCCTGTGTGCTTTAAAGAGAAATTCCTTGGCTGGAGATGTGGCCCAGTGAAAGAATGTTTGCCTAACATGAGCAGGGTCCTTGGTTTGACTCTGGCATCAGTGCTGAGCATCTGTGAGCTTCTTTTCCCATGTACACAGACCTTGTCCATACTGGGACATAACTTTATCAGAGTGAGAGACCTACTAGTATGTTTCAATGGGGCTACTTCAAAGGGAAGGATTACCAGTCTAATGTCCGAGACAGCCATGCCCAGGCACAGGGGTCTATAGTCAGAAACCTCAAAAACTAGTGTGGAGGCCTTTCCCAGTGCATCCCTCCAAAGCCATCTTATGAAGGCACAAAGATCATGCTATGCCAGGATAAGCCTAAGCCAGATGTCTGTTTGAATCCATGGTTTATATACCCAGCATCCATTGTGTAGCTAGTGTCTGGGTAAATGTCAGATGTCCTGTGGTTCTGTTTCTTCCTCTTCCCCATTGAATACAGAAGTTAAAGGTTTGGGTTAGGGAAGGGGAATTTAAATAGCTCCATCTATAAGCTGGGAATCTACCATCCAGCCATATGAGGTGGTAGAGCCACTCAGTGCCCCTATAAAAATGTGATCAACACAAAACCCCAGGAGGCATAGCTGCCAACGGGTTGGAATTTTCTACTCCCTGTCATCGGAATGAAGGAAGGAACAATCAGCAAAAAGATACACTTTGGGGGACAGGAAACACTTCTGGGTGAAGCCTCATATAATATAGCACATGTTTCAGTACAAACCTTCGAAGTGTGGATTGGCGATTCATCGGAACTAGACTGGAATGCTGAGGGTGTATGACATTGGGCAAGGACTGAAGCTGTGTGGCCCACCCTCCTCTTTTTTCTATCCGGCCTCACTCACGATGGCCTTCTGTGAAGGTGAGCATGGATGACCGTTGGAAGGCATTTTCTCTACAGGCTTTCCACCTTGCCACTTCTAAGTAATGGCCCAGCTTATCAAAAGCTGTTGTTTGCCTGGGATCTTACAGCACTGAGCCGTGTGAGGGAGCCTCGTCCCACCTGGGCCTCACAGTAGTGCTGTGTACTAAGTATTGTGGTCACCCATTTCAGAAAAGACTTCTGATAGCTTAACCCTTACCAAGGATCACCAAACTGTAGAAATGGAGAAATGTAGGTTCTTCTGGTGTCCCCAGTTCCCTAAGACTCTGTCTCTATGGAAATGAGATGAGCTCAGCACACAGGACTGGGACAGAGACTTCAGTTGGAAAAAAATTAACTGAGCTCTGGCCAGATGGACTTCCTGTGAGGTCTCTGGGAAGCATTCTGTCATGGCAGGGATAAGAGTTGGGAAGTATAAGCACCCCGAACGTGCCCAGGACTGAGCTAGGTACTCCATATCTCATCCATAGCTCATTTGTTCTTCTTCCACCCCACAGAAGGCAGATGCCATTTCCCTAGCTCATAGCCAACTACAGAGATAGTGAGAGACCAGCTGGCCTTTGAGACCAAACCTACCATCTCTCAAGATCGCAACAGATAGATTTTGGCAGCCATAGGTAGCAGCTGGTAGGGAGCTCCAGGCAACTTTAAAGGCCTGGACTCCAGGACAGCCAGGGGTTTAATGTGATTCAAGACATGGTAGTTCTCTGAGAAAAACTCAAGTACTAAAGACAGCTCTTGTGAATTTAGTCTTACTATTGTGGGACTGGGTAAACTGTAGGGTGCCCAAGCAAATGAAAACTTGAAGAAGCAATGTTGTTCCAAAAGGAGACTGGGTAGCATCTGCCTCTGCCCCTAGCCAGGGCAAGAGGTGACTCGCTGGCCATGTTCTTGGGCTCTCCTTCTTCTGCAAGCATAGCCACTGAGAGACAGACTAGGAGGCTAGAAGATGTGTTATATGGGGCCCAGGGCCCCCAGATCACGGGGACTATTATTTATTCTGGATGCATTCATCCCAGTATGTCCCATAGATACCAGTCCACACTTGGTGGAAAGAAACTAGGGAGACCTGGATCATGGAACTCCTAAGGGCCACAGAGAGGACAGCCTGACATGATTCCATGTCAGGATTTGCCAGGTTACTGGCTATACTGGCTATAAACATGGCTAAGCACAGCACCTGCTGGCCTGGGTGGCAAAGCCATGGGATAGTAGGCACTCAGCCTTGACAAGAGGGATTGTGTAGCCCAGCACCTGTGGCTGGAGCTTGGCTGTGACCAGAGAATCTGAGGGATCTTCTTAATAAGGGGAAAGAAAGAGCAAAAGAAAATCATTCTGGTGTCTCCTGGCTGAAGGGCAGTGGCTGGAGCCACCAGGGAGAAGGGAGAGGCAGGCCACCATGGGCCCACATGAAGCACTCTATAAGCGTTTTATTTATTATTTCTTGCTCACCATTAAAATCAAATGTACTTGGTGCTTTTGTATTCAATACACACTTAACCCTGCCGACTTAGATTTCTCAGGTTTTGAATCCAGTGGGGAATTGGCTGGCTTCCCAACTTTCCCCTCTAGTCCCCCGAACAGATCTGGAAAGCCCTGTTTAGCATTCTCTCCCCTGGTGCTGCCGAGATCTTAGCAATGGTGGGCCAGCCCTTGTTGTGTGTGAGAGTGGTTTTCCCTCCACCCAGGCTTCACCTTTTTCCTAAGCACCCCAAAAGAGAGGTGGTGCTGCTGCTGAAATACACTGGGGTTTGTCTGCATTGTCTTTGATTAAACCAGTTGCCTGTGTGTGTCTAGGCCTGGTTGTGGCTTGCCACTGCATGGTGTGTGTGTGTGTGTGTGTGTGTGTGTGTGTGTGTGTGTGTGTGTGTGTGTAAGAGAAAGAGAGAGAGAGAGAGAGAGAGAGAGAGAGAGAGAGAGAGAGAGAGAGAGCGCACAAGCACGCACCATTACTTCTTATGCATGCCTTTGTGGATGTCTGTTGGTGAGACTGTATAACTGTATATACACTGCGGTCTCCGAGCCCTGGTGCGTTTGGGTGTTTGTCTGTAATGATAATCCTACACCAGTGAGGAATGTGTGACTCTGGGTGGGTCTGTAACCACAGGGGTGACTGTCTCTGGTCCGTTGTGTCTTTCCCACCCTCCCTCACCCCTCGCTCCTCTCCCTCCTCTGTCTGTTTTATCATCCCTAATGAAGCAGTCTCCTCCATCGATCCTGCTGATTGCCAACCCCTTCCTTTTGTTTGTTGGCGCTGAGCCATTCAGCAGCACTCTGACAGCTCTGCTCGTCTAATTAGCTCTGTTGTTCTTTTTCCCCATGTTTCACCACGTTGCAAGTTCAGTTGAAGTTGCCACAAACTTAATCCCCCCATTTCAGTAGCAAGTTCACATTCTTAACCTGTCTTCATTGTAGTAAGGAGCAGCCCTGTGTGGGACAAGCTGACAGGCCATAATGTCTGACCTTCCTGAACTCAGTCCCCAGGTCCCTGGCAAGGGCAGGAGAGCTCTTCCACCCAGCTGCATTTTCCTCCTTTGCAGACAGAGTCTCGGGATCTAAGGGGCCTTGCTGAGGAAACCAACTCCGTATGAGAATGGCAACAGATATAGCCATGTATTTATTTGGCAAATGTTGACCAAATGTCTATTGGGTGCCAGGCACCTTTCTAATAACAATGACAACTACAACAGTTTTACCACTGTTAGATTCTAGACAGTAACATTGGCCTGTCTACAGATCTTGCTGCGGCTCCAGTATGTACCAGCTATCTCACAGAATGGCTGAAAGGATTAAGACTATCTGCAATCTATCTTCTTACAGGCACCTCCCTCCCTTCCTTTTGCTACTGATAAAAGGGGGCATCTCCATCACAAAGAAGCAGGCAGGCATTTCTGGAGCCCACACTCTGTGCTATGTTCATATCAGTGTGTTACCCACACCCTGTGGTTAAGTCTTAACAATAGCTCCGTGGAAAAAGACAGCATGTTTTGTGGAATGTTCTTGGCCTTTACCACATCTCTGATTTGCCAAAGAAGTCTGAGCTCAGACTGGCCGCTCCACAGGAAAATCTTTGGTTTGGTCAGACGTGCGCAGACCTGAGGGTTCCATGAGACTCTATCAAGATTGGTCTTGTATGCAGCCAACTTCTATAATCTTGTTCCTAAGCCATTGTTCTCTGTCACCCACCAGTTGCTGGGGGAGGCAGGGGGGCCTGTTCTGAAGAAGGGGAGTAGGTAATGGTGTGTGTGCACTGTCTTATCAGCCAGTGTCTCATTGCAGCTGCACAGAATGCACGCTTCCTATGCAATCTCCAATGCTGGCTCATCTGTATGAACAGCAAGAGTCACAGAGAGACATTCTCAGCTCCCTTCTCAAATCTCTTTGACATTAGAAGTGGTCAGAGGTGATGGTACCATACATAAAGCCACATAATACTGATTAGACCAAATGAGACTCACTCTAAGAGTACCTAGAAATTCACAGTCTAACGGGCTCTGATGGGACAAGGAAGGGGGCATCCTCTCCTCTGTGGCTCCACAGTAGTATTCAGAGGTAGCAACTCAGAATAACCCACAGTGTAGTAGGAAGTGAATGTACGAAGCTGCCTGCTGCCCTCGTGTGCCCACTGCCACTCCTAAGCTGTGCTTTGTGCAGCATCCAGTTGAGCCCTACTGGAAGACAGGGCATACAGTACCCTGAGAAGCAAGTTGGTTTAGCTGGGTACTCTGTGGAGCTGTCAGTTGCTTCCCACTTCCCTTTAGAGAGGAAAATAAGTATACTGTAATTCACTTGTAAAAGAGTATTTTGAGTGTGTGTTCCCCAAACAAATGTCAGTGGAACCTCTTTGTTCTACACATGGTTTCTAAATTCCATGAATAGGGTGGTAATATTTGCTTCCCATGTTGTTCACACCTCAGTCAGCTCTGAGAGGCCTCTGGGTCTGCAGATGAGAAGAGCCTTTCTGGCTTAAATTCCAGAGAGCATATCCATATATGCTGTATGTTAAGAGGTGGTGCTTCCATGATAAGCAAGCAGACCATGGTAGCCCAGACATGGAGAACCTGTAACCAACCCCAGGGCTGTCTACCCAAATGTGTCACCATGGACCTGTGGGGCCTTTATAACTCACTCCTTGGGGATTTACCCATCTTCAGGTACGACCGCCTCGTCCACACGTTGCCAAGAGACCCAAGAGCAACATGACTTTGGAAGGCCGGAGGACGTCTGTCTCAAGCCCTGAGCAGTGAGTACTATTGCTCCCTCTCATCTCTCCCCAGGAACCCAGTGAACCAGAGCTTTGTGATGACCAAGCATGTAGGCCCAGCCTTCCTCTTGGAGGCTCTCTTGAGATCCTGAGCAGGTGTTAAATAAGGAGGCCAGACAGGGAACAGAGCTTGGTCATTGGTGTCAGAGTCTGAGCCTCTGTTGTCACATCAGGATCCTGGGCTCTACTTTGAGTGGTGTGGCCCAAAGACACTCAGCCACATTCCAAAGAAAGCCCCAGTCCTCTTACACTGAAGATGTAGAGTCCACAAGTGAGAGTAAGCTACCTTGTCAAACAGGCTACTTGCCCTGCAAGGCCAACCCCCATTGTAGGCCAGCTGCTTTCAAAGTCTCTATGGCTTAAACTTATCCAGAAGACATCCTTACCCTGGGTCCTCTGCAGCCATAGCACCTGTGCTCTTAGGCCTTTCCTTGAAACTCCTCCCGACCTAGAATACCGCTGGGCACCCTGAGACCCAGCCTAGAGCCAGCTTCGGTCACATCTTGAATGGCTGTTAGATGGATGGGGAGACAGAGCCTTCAGGGTCAAAAGCTGTAGACAGCTGGAGGAAGAAACACTATTTCTCCTTGTCCTGTGCACATAGCCCTAGGCTCAACTACTCACCAGCTTCCTTGGATATCTTTAGAAATACCTTAGATATCACAGATCCATCTTGGCCTAGGTTCGTTTGAGGCCTGAGGTAGGGGAGGGGAATTGTTCTTTGTGTGGAAGGGAAGAAAAGAACTGGTGCCAAAATAGAAAAATGATTTCAAAATGTCAGGCTGTGGCCTAGCTCAGTGCACTTCGTTTCTCCCATGATCCTCTGCTTTATAGAACCAGCCTTCCTGAATGGTCTTTACCATTCAGGGAGAACACCAGAGTAGAAAAGTGTATGTGTGTTTCTGGAGATGCTTGGATATGTGAGGTTTTGAAGAGGGGATACCTGAAGTTTGTAGGGCAGGTTTAACTTGTCTCTGCACATTGGCATGGTGGGAATACTGAGGGACATCTCCTTTGCCATGGATTATGACTGCCCCCTTGTGGTGAGAATGCTGCATGGCTCTGGGTTTCCTCGAAGATTTCTCTTGAAAGGAATGGAATTAGTACCTCTTCATAGCTGATCTAAGTGTCCTGGGATAGAGACCACGGACCTCTAGATATTGAGTCATAAACCAAGGATATCCTTGCATAGCGCACACAGACACACACACACACACACACACACACACATCAGACTGGCAGCAGTTCATATCCTATGGAAACGCATTCCCCACTTTGCAGTCCTGATTAGAGATTGGACTTGCCAAGCACATTTATTTATGCTGTTCCTGTTCCAAACCCAGTGACAGGAGTAGTGCTTTAGTGTGTGCAAAAAGCCGGCTGTGTCAAGAAGGTAGCTCCTCCTGGTAATTGCCTTAGCTGTGTCGGCATCACTTCAGTATTTTCATGTAATGTGCCTGTCTTAGATTTCCTTCCAGAAAGCATCAGGTTGAGATGAACTGGGCAAGAGTGTGGGGGATGGTTCAGAGGGCTGGCAAACACAGTGACGGGAATCAAAAGACACCTCACTGCCACTCAGGCCGGCCAGCGGGTAGCAAGGGATGTTCTAAGACGTCATTGCTAGGGTTTCTCTTCACATTTTCTTAATGAGGAAGAGGCGAGGCTGTGTTCTCATCATGCCAGTGACATTTCTGGTGCCACCCGGGTGTTTTCCTGCATCTCTTCCATGCTGCCATCCTCTAGCCCCTCCCCGTGCTCCTCCACTTCCAAATGCCATGTCACAACAGCGCTTGGATGTGTTTCTCTCAACTGTCACCAGCTCCAGCTGGCAAGACCAAGTTCTTGAAACACAGGAAGCATCCAGCGGAAAATATTTTAATAAAACATACTCCTCAAATATTGTTCTGGAAGGGAAGGAAAACAGCGCCACCAGTCTGTCAGCTCCATGTCGGGAGAGTTCAGAAGATCAGAAGAGGGGCTGGGAGGCAGGAGCCAGCATCTAGTGGTCTTTGTGGAGGGTGGTTCCTGATGGCACACGTGGACTCAGAACCTGGCCCTTTCATCAACTGTGACTTGTCTTGAGTCCTAGTTCTTTATCTCTGCTAGAGATAGCAAAGTGTACTGGACTCTTAGAGGATTTGGGCTGCAGCTGGAGGGGTAACTCCATCCTCTTACCTTTCTGCCAACATATTCAAAAGTTATCTCTGTTCAGCACAATGGGGCCTTTTAGAAGCTGAGAGCTCTGAGGTCCACCCAGCTCCAGCAGTAGCCAGCAGCTCTCGGCTGAGGTCCATGTCTTCCTTTCCTGCAGATGTGTTTCTGTCCATTGCTCCATACATGCATTCATATGTCAATCTGTTCAGTAGACATCTCTGAAAACCCGGTAGGTACACACTAAGATGCTTTCAGAGGGAGTTCCCATGCTGACTCATCTACTAACTTACGTTTGCCCAAAATGAAATTTCCTTCCTGAGTTAAGGTTTTCTAGCCCCTTTAGCCATTTCTTAGCACTTGGATAAGCCCTTCAAGGGATTTCAGGGGAGGGATCTGTTTTTAAGTCACCGTTCACTGATTAACATGAGGTTAAGGGCTGGAAAGATGGCTCAGTCTGCATAGGGACCTGAGTTTAGGTCCCCAGTACCCTCACAGAAGCTTGGTGTCTGATTATAGCACTGGGAGGACTGGCCAGCCAGTAAGCTGTGAGTTTAATGAGAGAGCGTCTCAGGATGGTAAGGCAGGGAGCAGTGGGGAGGACACTGTATGTCAGCCTCTGGCTTCCACCCATGTACAACCAAGATAAGGGCCTAGTGACCACATTGGTCTCCAGGCGCCCCCTCATATTCCCTGCTAGAAGGCTGCAGTGGGATCAGGGGCCATAGTCCTCACTGAGTGGCTGAGAATAGAGAGGGACATCATCTGTGTATAGCCCCTGGTTCATCTTCATGGTGCAGCAGTAGGGCCAACTCTGGGTCCTGAGGTCAGAGACTTGAAGTGCCCTTTTCTGGTCACCTACCCTCCAAGCTCTCTAGGCTGCATGCCTTGTTTCTCCGGTCACGTACATGCAGATGCAGACTCTGCTGGCCACAACCTATGAAGTCCCCTCATACTAAAGAAGAGCCCAGATTCAACCAACCAAGCCTGCTCACCAGATATCTCTTTTTAAGCAATTTTACTTGTCAGAATGATGCAGCGGGCTTAGAGACAGCCCAGAGGTCAGGAAGGAAACAAGTTCACTCTGATTCTCATGACTTTGACTCAGCTACACATAAGTATTTGTGTAGAGTCCCTCCAGGCTTTGCCTAGTTATGTTTTTGGAGCTCTGAGTCTGTGAAATCCAGTTGTATGGACTTGTCCCTTGTCTCTTGATAGCTTCTGTCGTTTGTGACTACAGGCGTGTGTGTGAAGGTGGTATTCCTTCTTAACCCTGCCCCATACTGTACCTTTAGTTTTTGTTCCCAAGGTTTTGTTTATTAGAAAAATGGTGGGGGCTAAGATTTGGCTCAGCGGTTAACAGCACTGGCTGCTTTTCTAGAGGTCCTGAGTTCAATTCCTACCAACCACATGATGGCCCACAACCATCTATACTGGGATCTGATACCCTCTTCTGGCATGCATGTATACATGCAAATAGAGAACGAATACATAAAATAAATAAATTAGTTTTCTTTTTAAGAAAAAAAAAGGGAAAAGACAAAAAGGAAGACAGATGCTGGGGTAATCCTCCTGTTCACTGAGCTCCCTCTCGTTTTATGTCACTATACGATGTGGAACCGACACTACATTCGCTGTGGGCTATGTGCTAAGTAGGCACTTGACACATGACATTCCTTTACATCCTCAGGAGAAAGTGGAAGGTGGGGGACTTGAGCTGTGTTTTATGGTAATGGCTGAAAGTTCAAGAGTTTAATCTTGCCCTTGGTTACACAGCTAGTTAGTTAGTAACACGGCTGGTTACATAGCTAGTTAGTAGTAGAGCTGGGCTTCAATTCTACCTCTTGATGACTAAGCCAGTACACCCATCAGTGCTGGAGGAAGATGTCTGTCCTGTCCAACTCAGTGAACAGGAACCACACCACCTCGCCCCTTCTGCCAGATCTGGGCAGCTGGCAGCACTGGAAAGTCTCTAGATGGGGACAACTGCAGGTGTGCCGGCTGCATTGACAGCTGAGGGACAGCAGTGTTCAATTGCATTTGTCCCAAATATGCTCCATGGCCCCTGCACCAACGCCTCAGAAGGCGAAAACAAATCAGAAGCCATTGCCAGAAGCACTCGGTGAGGACAGGACCAAAGTCTGCATCTCAGAACATTTTCTCTTGTGCCGCTGTGCTTCACTGCAGAAGACAAGCTACCCTAGAACTATGGACATGCCTCACATTCCTTGGGGTTGGATCTCAACGGAGCCAAGCCCTGTGCCTCCTGTACAGCCCAGAGCTACCCCAACGCTGGAGTTAGTCATTTGGCCAGAGGCCTGGTGCACAGATGGACTTCCCCATGCTCAGGGTGACATCCCAGCCCACCATGCCAAGACTTTTCCACCACCTGAGGGCATCTGGAGAAGCCACAGCCACATCCTAAATTAGGAGGACACATGACCTCCCAGTCCTCCTTACCTCTTCAGCAATGATCAGTCTGTCCTCCAATACCCAGATGGTCACATAGGACCACAGACTTTCCTTCCTGTGCCCCAGCCCCCAGTGTGAACCTACACTGTTAAAATTCCTCTAGATATCTCATACACACTTGAAGGCACATGTTTATAGAAGTGTGCATGTGGACAGACACACACAAACATGCACATTTGTGCGTACGTGCACATGGACATGGACACGCACATACACATACCCATGCTCTGAGCTTCTCCAGGGAGAAATTATGTACTTCAACCTTGACTTTGACTGTCAAACCAGTGCTTATCCAGACTTCTGCTCAAAGGTGTCTCCTGAATGGAGGAATATAGGAATTGGTGAAGGCAGATGCC